AGAGAGAGAGAGAGAGAGAGAGAGAGAGAGAGAGAGAGAGAGAGAGAGAGAGAGAGAGAGAGAGCGACGTCACCCGCCAAGCACAACGCGGGAGGAAACACAGAGAGGGGGAGAGAGAGAGAGAGAGAGAGAGAGAGAGAGAGAAACAGACAGAGCAGACGTCATAAGACGCCATCAGCGACTGTTGGTGCGCGCCACGGCATGGCCGTGGCGGGGTCCACTTGTTCCGATAAAATTTAGCTAGTGAAGATGTGTTATACTAGGGGTAGGACATATGGGGAGGGAGACTGAACTTTCGGATGGGGGGGTTGCCAACAGCCAATCTTTTTTTATTTTATTTATTTATTTATTATTATTATTTTTTTTGGACCATTTCTCGATTTACGTGTGTCATCCTTGCGCAGGGGCCATACCAATCTTCCCTTCTCTGTATCGTTCCGATTTTAACGGATGTTCCGAAGGACAGCCAACAGCCAATCCTTCTAGAGGGGAGCAAGCAGTTATGTTGGGGGTTGCTGCGGCCTTAACAAGGGAAAGCCCAAAGCGGGGCATTACTGTTGGAGGAAAAGGAACCGGACTGATGCTCCTCAGAATACAAAACAGCCAGGAACATAAAGCCCTGGTTCAAACATTCTCTTTTTTTTTTTTTTTTTGGTTGGGGGGGGGGAACCATTTCTCGATTTATGTGTGTCATCCTTGCGCAGCGGCCATGCTTATCTTCCTTCTCTGTATCGTTCCAATTTTAACGAATGTCCCCAAGGACTGAGTTCATGTGTTCTAATTTTCTGTTTTTTTTTTTTGTTTTTTTTTTTCCGTTTGTTCTCTTTTTTTTTCGCTATGCCTCCGGAGGGACCGCGTTGAAAACTATCGTGCAACTGGAGCCCATAGGTCGCACCCAACAGTATGTGGTGCAGCCGCAGAGTCTCGCCCTTTATCTCATTTTGACATTTTCTGCATTAAAGAAAAGAAATAAAAAGATTGTTTGTCACTTTGCAGGCATAATCCTTGAAGATGGTTGTCGCTTGTCTTCTCTGTGCCATTCCAGTTTTAAGAAATGAAATAAAATAATAAGCATGCCCTGGTTTCCCCCTTGGGGAACAGAAGGGGGGAGCGAGACAAAACAGGAAAGGAAACTGTATGATGTCAAATTGAAGTTCCCCTCGGTAATATTGCACTCAAAAAAAGAAAAAGAAAAAAAAAGAAGAAGATTGCAGTGCATCATTGCACTCACCAAGTTGAATTCTTTTTTGAGCTGTGCTAGCATGCGAACCAAATTGCCTCGAGGACACGATTCCCACACTTCTCCCGGCGCTTTATAAAGGGTCGTCAGCACTATATCGTGCCCAGAACACCTGCATCCATCTCTGCAAAATGTCAGTGCCTGGACTGGATACCCTTGTTCCAATCATTCCAACTTGACGGGGGGGGGGCGGGAAGATGAAAAGGAAGGCAGAGATGCACTGCAACAGCGCCACCCACCGGCTCCAGATCGTAGGCAGAGATGCACTGCAACAGCGCCACCCACCGGCTCCAGATCGTCAAACAACAAATCGGATCTGTGGGACCGATGAGCAACACGGTGATAGTGATCATCCATTTGGCCAAGACTTGCGCCCTCTCCCCCCCCACACATCAAAAAAAAAAAAAAACATTAATCATGTAAACATTTGAGGGAAAACAGCGGCAAAGACAAGTGATTGAATATGTAATGACCTGCAAAACCACAGACTGAGAACTGTGATGATTTCTGAGTTCTTCCGCTGGATTGTGTGTCTGCGGAGATTCCCGCTGTTTGCTGAGATTTCTAAGTCTGTGTTTGAGCGTGTTTGCTGGTTTCCATGTGTTTGCCGGGATGCCTGAGTACTTGAGTGTGTGTGTGTCTCCCGCCAGGGCACTTGTGTGTTTGAGAGGCCCGCACGGCCAGTACTTACCTGTGGCCGTGGCTTTGAGGGGTTGCAGCAGGGGAAAACCACTCAAGTAGCGGTTAGTAGGCCCAGAACGCTTAGGGAAGCAAGGAAAAACACTCAAGTAGCGGGTAGGCTAGGCCGTAGCACTCAGTAGCGGTAGGCCTAGCGGAAGAAGACAAAACGTTAGTATTTTTTGAGGCCCAGTGGCGGTCTAGGTGGGTACCAGTCCAAGTAGCCTGAGTCTAGGGCCTGTGCGGATGATATCAGAGCCTGCAATGATGTTTCCCTCCGCAACGGAGGAGGTACTGGTAGCTTGGAGGCCGCGCG